TTCATTTTTTTTTTTTTTTTTTTTTTTTTTTTTGTTATTTCAACCTTTAAAGTGGTCCATACTTTTGAAGATAATATTATTTTCCTATGGGTATGTAGGTTGTTGAAATTGTGGACCATTACGATACAGAATGCATACCTGAGTCATTTAGAAGCAATAAGGTCGCATATATGAAAGATAGCTCAATTCACAAGAATTGTTCTCGGTTTTTGAAGGTAATATTTCTCTACCATGTTATTTCAACCTTTAAAGTGGTCCATACTTTTGAAGATAATATTATTTTCCTATGGGTATGTAGGTTGTTGAAATTGTGGACCATTACGATACAGAATGCATACCTGAGTCATTTAGAAGCAATAAGGTCGCATATATGAAAGATAGCTCAATTCACAAGAATTGTTCTCGGTTTTTGAAGGTAATATTTCTCTACCATCTATCAGAATTTTAATCATGAAGATGGGGGACATATTCACCCTATTCTCTTTTTATTTATGAGAAAGTTGTCCAAGAATTGGCCACTAATATTGAATGTCATGCTTCTCTGTATAATCCTTATTACCTGTGGATGAAAATTTTCTCAAGTATTTAAATGAAACAAAATTTTGCACCCTTTTGCTCGCAAGGGGCAAGAGCATCAGAGTATGGTTAGGTGGATATCTCCGCTTGCGCTTTAATAGTATTAGCAAGATAATTACGTTTATTCAAGGAGCTATTTTGATTTTCATAGTATTAGGTTTCAGCAGTTTTTGAATATCAATTTTGTAATCCTGCCAATTTGTTTCTGTCACACTATTTATCTATCAAAAAAAAAAAAAAAAGACATCTATTACACTATTTGGGGTATTATACCATATTGAAGGAAACAGAGAAAGATATCTAAAGGGTATAGCCATAGGGGCTACTAATTGGAGTTACCTGATTGAGAAATCAAGTCATAGTTTGAGCTGAAATTGAGAGATCAGGTCATAGATTGAGCTGAAACTAGAATTAAGGAATTCTCTAGTAGCTTTACTATAACACAAGAAAATGTGAGATTATTTCAAAATTTTCTCATTCCTTAGCTTTAGATTTTTTTTTTCCTCCTGTTTTTATTTTATTTCTTAATATGGTTGAAACCTTTCCCTTTCTAGATCGAGAAGCATATGAAGGCTCCAATCCATATCTACTACCAACTTGATAACTACTATCAAAACCACCGAAGGTAAGAGTTCTTTTATTTCTATGTTTGAAGTTGGGTATATTCAGAGTCTTACTCTTAAATGTCATGAAAATTTGATAGAACTTGAGTAGATTCGGAAACATAAGAAGAGAAAGAAATGTTATCTGTGAAGATTGACTAAATCTTTATTGAAAATCAACTGAGTTACAGTAAGAATGCGGAACTTCGAGGGTCCGTAGCCTCCCTACTTGGAATAGCTCCAAGATTTTCCCACAAAACAATCACAAATTTTCCCTGCCTTGCTCTAATCCCAGACCCCCCTTTTTATACTCTTTCTTATTTTCTAACGATCAAAACTAACATTCTTCTAGAACAAGCTTCTCTAACAAACTTATTCTCTTTCTTAGAGTTCGTTTGGTAGATGGTTGATTTTGGATCCTGGTTCAGAATCAGTGTTTATTTATAGTGAGTTTGAATCATGATTCAGAATTAGTGTTTAGTTTGGATGATTTTGAATCATTATTTGGAATCTGATGTGATGTTTTAAACTCGAATCACTCATGATTCTTAAACCACCCTCCTCTTGATTCAAGGTGATTCAAACTCTTAATTTTGAATCGTGGTTTCAGAATCATGATTTCAGAATCATAATTTGAACCTAAAATCATGAATCATGGTTCTGGTTCCAGAATCACAATTAGAATTATCCTGGTTTGAATCCTCATACCAAACGAATTCTTATTGTCTACCTGAACTAACAATGTTCCCCAGCAAGCTTCTCTAATAAGCTAGAGAACAATCTTCCCTAGTCACGTGTCCTAAGTACCCTTATTCTTCCTAATGTACACTTGCCGAATTAGTGGCTTATCAATTACTCCAATTGCCCGGTAGATGGAGAGAATCGAGTATCCAACACCTGTTTTGGTGTCACCTGCAAAACCGAATCCTCCGAAAGGAAAGAAGGAAGCGGCTGAGAGGCTACCGCAGGACCAATTGCCTTCTTCAATCATGACACATGAAAGACGAGATGGATTTTAGCATCCGAAGGAAGTTGCAAGTGGTAAGCCCCAGAACCAATGCGAGCTAAAACTGGAAAAGGACCATAATACCGGGGTGCAAGCTTCTCATTCACACGACGAGCCAAAGAGCGGTGGCGATAAGGCTGCAATTTCAAGTAAACCAGGTCACTGACTTCAAAGGATAAATCCCGGCGTTTATGATTAGCACGCAGCTGCATAAAGTGCTGAGCCCTGGTCAAATGTTCCTTCAACTCCGCCAAAAGAGCATCTTGAATGCACAACTACTAATCTAATTCGGAGGTGGCAGTAGAACCTGTGGTATACGCAACCAAGGGCGGAGGATCCCGGCCATAGAGAGCCTTGAAAGGCGTCATCGCGGCAGAAACATGGAAGCTGGTATTATACCAAATCTCAGCCCAAGGAAGATGTGTAGCCCACTGACGAGGAGTACTGGATACGAAGCAACGCAAATAAGCCTCCAAGCAGCGATTGACGACCTCGGTTTGCCCATCCGATCGCGGATGATATGCGGTGCTCCGGCACAAAGAAGTGCCCGGTAACCAGAAGAGTTCATTCCAAAAATGACTCAAGAAGATCCGATCCCGATCCGATATTATGCTCCGGGGAAATCCATGTAAACGTACAATCTCTCGGACGAAAAGAGCAGCCACAGTCTTAGCCGAAAAAGGATGATGGAGGCCTAAGAAGTGTGCATACTTAGTTAAACGGTCAACCACCACCAAAATAGAATCAAACCCACTGGACTTAGGCAGCCCTTCCACGAAATCCATAGAAATGTCTTCCCAAACCCGATTAGGAATAGGGATGGGATGTAACAACCCGGCAGGAGATAGTGTAGAAGATTTATGTTTTTGACAGACAACACAAGCAGCCACAAAAGAATCAACATCCTGACGCATCCCCGGCCAATAAAATTCCCTAGCCATCCGCTTGTAGGTAAAGTGCCCCCAAATGACCGCCAACCTTACTACCATGAAACTCTTGCAGTAAGGTTGGTATAAGCGAAGAATTCTGCAGTATGACCAAATGCTCCTTGAACAAAAGTTGATCTCGTTGTAGTGTGTACCCCTTGTAAGGTGCAGCAACCTTTTGCAAGGCAGACCGAACCTTGGCCAGCTTAGGATCTTCCAAAACCTGTTGATGTAAGGCTGCAATATCCAAGACAACCAGAGAAGTCATAACCATTAATTCAAGTCCACAGGGATGGCGAAAGGGCATCCGCCGCTTTGTTTTCAAGGCCTGGTTTATAGTGAATATCAAAATCATAGCCCAACAACTTGCATAACCACTTTTGATGCTCCATACTCACCAAACGCTGTTCAAGAAGGAACTTTAGGCTCTTTTGGTCTGTGCACACCACGAAACGCTGACCAAGTAAGTAATGCCTCCATTTTTGGACAGCCAACACTATGGCCATTAACTCCCTTTCATACACCAATTTGGCCTGGGCTCTAGAAGAAAGCACTTGACTGAAATAAGCGATCGGCCGCTGGTTTTGCATCAACACCGCCCCAATGCCAAAATCCGAAGCGTCAGTCTCTACCACAAAGGGCTGGGTAAAATCCGGTAAAGCGAGCACCGGAACCTCAGTCATAGCGCGCTTAAGGTGTTGAAAAGCAGCCTCGGCCTCTTTATTCCAATGAAAGCAATCCCGCTTAAGTTGCTGCGTGAGAGGCCAAGAAATGCCGCCATATCCGGCCACAAACTGCCGATAATAGCCTGTCAAGCCCAAAAAACCTCGCAGCTCCTTAACAGTCTTAGGAGTGGGCCAATCCAACATGACTTGGATCTTACTTGGGTCCGTGGAAACCCCTTCCTTCGAAACAATATGACCCAAATATTCCAAACGAGCTTGCGCGAAAAGACATTTCTTTTGATTGATGTACAATTGGTTGTTGCCAAGACTGAAAGGACCTTATCCAAATGCACCAGATGATCCTCCCAAGTCGCACTATAGATGAGGATGTCATCGAAGAAAACTAACACAAAATCGCGCAAAAATGGTTTAAGTACCTCATTCATTAGGGATTGAAAAGTGGCCGGTGCATTAGTTAAGCCAAAAGGCATAATGAGAAATTCATAGTGACCCTCGGGTGTGCGAAAAGCAGTCCTCAGCCTTCATCCGGATTTGATGATATCCCCGATTTCAAATCCAACTTAGTGAAAATCGTGGCACCACATAATTCGTCGAGTAGCTCTTTAATCACCGGAATTGGAAATTTATCGGGAATGGTAGCCTTATTCAAGGCACAGTAGTCCACACAAAATCGCCAACTCCCATCTTTTTTTTGACCAACAATACCGGGCTGGAAAATGGGCTTGTACTTGGCTGAATAATGCCGGCAGCCAACATCTCCTTCACTAACTTCTCTATCTCATTCTTTTGAAAATGAGGGTACTTGTAAGGGCGAACACTAATAGGACCGGTGCCTTCTTGAAGAATGATGCGATGGTCTTTTATTCGACAAGGAGGAAGGCCGGTTGGCATGTGAAGTACCGCCGAATGTTTTTGCAAGAGAGCTTGGAGCCGCTCATCTCCCACCGCTGTTACAGCGCCTATTTCTTCACTAACTAGCGAACTCAATTTGAGGTATATCCCATTTCCCTCGTGCCTAATAGTCCGTAACATAGCCTTAAGGGAAATCTGTGATTTACTAAGGCTAGTGTCTCCCTTCAAAACCACCCCAGTTCCCCTAACCTTGAATTTCATAACCTGCGTTTTCCAATTGACTTGCATGCTGCCCAAAGTTTCCAACCACTGCATGCCTAAAATAACATCTATGCCCCCAAGCTCTAATGGCAAAAAATTTTCGATCACAGTCAATTGTTGCATTTGCAACACCACTTCCTTGCAAATACCCTCCCCCTTTACCGAGTCTCCAGTGCCAATTTGCACCCGAAACTCCATAGTAGGAGTGACCGGCAAGGCCAATTTTTGCACCAAAGCTAAAGAAATGAAATTATGGGTTGCACCCGAGTCAATAAGGATAATTACCTCTTGCTGGCCGATTTCCCCCTCAATTTTCATAGTCCTCGGAGTTGTTAATCCCACGACCGAATTTAGAGACAATTTGATCACCTCGGGCCTAAACACTTCCTCTACTGCCTCCTTGGAATCCTCTATAGCCAAATAATCCTCATCACTGACTAACATAATTCTTAACTCTTTTCTTACATCGATGACCCACTGAAAATTTTTCATCACACCTAAAACATAGTCCTTTGTTCCTCTTTTCCTGCAACTCTGAGTCGGAGAGCTTCCGAAAAGGAACCTCTTTAACTTCTCCGGATTTCCAAATGTTTCCGCTGCACTCCAGGTGCTGGTTGAAGTCCATTGCTGCCCACTTGTTGAGGCTTCCAAAAACGTTGCACCCCCAGCTCCCTCCGCAACAGCAGATTCTTCTCCTCGATGCGCTGCGCGGTAATCCATAATCTCGGTAAGTCCCTCAGGTTTAAGCAACCGTAGTTCAACCCTAATTTCAGCCTTCAAACCATTCACAAAGATTCCTTCCAACACCTCCTCAGGATCATTTTGCAAAGGAGCAGCCGAGACCTCGAATTTCCTGCGATAGTTGGCCACTGTACTCGCCTGCCGAAGAGCCAAAAATCTCACATTAGGTTCCTTCCTGTGAAGAACGAAATCTCTGTAGGAGGGCTGCTTTAAATTTAGCCCAATTGACGAACGGTCGCCGCCGATTTTGCCATTGAAACCAAGGAGCATCTCCTTCCAACGCAATTCCCGCCGTGATTATCCTCTCCTTCTCCGAATAACGGTTAATGGAAAAGAACAGTTCCATACGGAACAGCCACCCATCCGGGTCAATACTGCTAAACAAAGGATAATCCAACTGCTTGCGTCTCACCAGTGACCACTCCTCCCCTTCCCACGGTTCGCAATAGTCGCCGGTAAATCCCTCAGGATTACTGGCCGGTCCGTACTGCAGAAAATGCACTTCGTCCTTCTGAAAATTTCCAGCATTGTCAGGACCCCCCGTTGGCCTCCTTTACGGCAAACTCCTACCGGAAGGTTCGCCGAACCTAAAAACGTCGCCCCGACCATCCCATCTTGGCCTGGGTCCTCCTCCCAAAGTCCGAAATTCTCACTCCCGAGCCAAGATTCCGTCTGATTCCGTCGGCTTCCCCAGAAATTGCAACCTTCTACCTTCCGCGCGTGACGGTCTCTCTGTTCGTTCCAACGCCGCTGCCATGTCCTCGTTCTTTCCCTCGATCTTCCACTTGTACCGCCGTTCCACGTGGTTCCCCATGACCTATCGCTTCACCACTTACGCGAACTCCGGCAACGTTCAAATCCACCGTCCTCGGCTCCGCCATGAGCTTCGCCGTCAAGACTCGCATCTGCTCCTCCATCAAACGGCGCAGATCCGCCATATTCTGGCTCATCTCTGCCGTAACGCAATCGATCCCCTTTTCCACCGAATCTTTGACCTGTTGAATTTCTTTTTCCACAGTATCGAACCGCTCATCCGATTTCTTTCTCGCTGCCATGTCCCAGAAAGGGCTCTGATACCAAATTGATAGAACTTGAGTAGATTCGGAAACAGAAGAAGAGAAAGAAATGTTATCTGTGAAGATTGACTAAATCTTTATTGAAAATCAACTGTGAGTTACAGTAAGAATGCAGAACTTCGAGGGTCCGTAGCCTCCTGGAATAGCTCCAAGATTTTCCCGCGAAACAATCACAAATTTTCCCTGCCTTGCTCTAATCCTAGACCCCCCTTTTTATACTCTTTCTTAGAGTTCGTTTAGTAGATGGTTGATATGTTTGGTTTATGTATTCAGAATCATGATTCAGAACCATTCTCGTTTTACGTGTATTTTTTGTGAGAAAAAACACTGTAGAGAACCATGAATCATGATTCAGAATTAGGGACGAATATAGGAAACAAACGTTATTGATTTTGAATCATGATTCAGAATTAGTGTTTGGTTTGGATGATTTTGAATCATGATTTGAAATCTGATGTGATGTTTTAAACTAGAATTACTCATGATTCTTGAACCACCCTCCTCTTGATTCAATGTGATTCAAACTCCTGATTCTGAATTGTGGTTTCAGAATCATGATTTTAGAATTATAATTTGAACCTAAAATCATGAATCATGGTTTTGGTTCCAAAATCATAATTAGAATTATCCTGGTTTGAATCCTCATACCAAACGAATCCTTATTGTCTAACTACTTGAACTAACAATCTTCCCCAGCAAGCTTCTCTAATCAGCTAGAGAACAATCTTCCCTAGTCACGTGTCCTGAGTACCCTTATTCTTCCTAATGTACACTTGCCGAATTAGAGGCTTATCAAAATTCTGTTCAACCAAATAGTAACTTACCTTCAAAATTTCTGTTAATCATTTATCTTTTTCGTGCTATAAGCTTTATCCCTTTACTCTATGCTCACTCAACTTTTATTTCGTTTTCCCTTGAATCTTTTATCTTTTTCAGATACGTCAAAAGTAGAAGTGATCAGCAACTCTTACATGGACTTCAGTACAATGACACAAGTTCCTGTCAGCCTGAAGAGTTCAATAATGGCCTTCCGATTGTTCCTTGTGGCCTAATAGCTTGGAGTTTGTTCAATGATACGTATAAATTCATTCGTGGGAGATCGGAATTAAAGGTTAATAGGAAGAACATTGCATGGAAGAGCGACCGAGATCACAAATTCGGGAAGCATGTATATCCCTTCAATTTTCAGAATGGAACCTTGATTGGTGGCAAAAGATTAGATCCGACTGTTCCTGTGAGTATTAGCAATGTGTGCAAAGTTACTACCATCGCCTTCTCTCTTTCTTGTCAACTGAAGTCGAATATGATGCGGCCAAATTATGATATTTTATACCCTCTGGCATTTACTCCAACCTATCCTTGCAATTTTTCCTTCTCCCTAGTACTCTAAATTTAATGTTTTTTGGGCTAAATACTCCAACATGGATGCGACTCATCACCGGGCTCATACTCTAAATTTACTTTATTTTTTTGTGGCTAAATACTACTAATAGAAGAAGGCCGCACTGTCAAAGATGCTTTAACTTCTTGTCTTAATATCAATTCCATGTCAATATAGAGACTTACAAGGAGGGGATCTAAAATGTCAATAGATTGATCATGCTACTAGCTCCAAAGTCACTGCCTAGGCCTCCATTTTATACATTGAGCTAGAATTATTTGAAGAAGTGATTTGCTGATGTATGACTCTCATTTTTCTGTCATTTTCTTCGGCTAAAAATGGTCTCTAACAATGTCTTTATGGTTTCTCTTGTTCTCTTCTGAATTTTATTGGGTTGGGATTCGTTATCAATTAGCTAAGTGATCAAGAAGATCTCATAGTATGGATGCGTACCGCTGCTCTCCCCAGCTTCCGGAAATTGTACGGTAGAATTGAAGAGGATTTGGAAGCAGATGATGTCGTAGTAGTCAAGTTGATGAATAATTACAACACTCACAGTTTTGGAGGAAAGAAAAAGCTTATCCTTTCAACATCGAGCTGGTTAGGAGGAAAGAATGATTTCCTCGGGGCGGCCTACATTTTTGTGGGTACATCTTGCATATTCATCTCTCTCGTCTTCTTATTGCTACATATGAAAAATCCAAGGTAAATTTCATTGTAACGCATGATTTTGTCTTTTACATATCCATTACACATTTCAGATCATGATCCTTTATAAGTAAAGCAAATATCTTTACTGGTTCAAAATTCCAGATAATGTCGGGTCTGCTTCCGTCCGCAATTTCATTTTATCTGCACATTGCTTCTTTTCTTATAAATGGTCTTGTTTCTGGCTTCAAGGGATTAACATTTTGTTATATTTATGACCTTGCAGGCCTTATGGGGAGATTTCTTATCTCTCTTGGAATAAGAAAAGTATTTCCAGTTGACAAGGAGATTTTATGCTCTGTAAAATTCTAACCAAGATGGTTCAATTTCATCTACAACTATTGCTGGGTTCTTATAGGTTTCTGTTAATATTGTGAGAACATGTAAGAAAAAAGAAGGGAGAAGTTCTGTTACGGAGAAGGAATGAAAAAGCCTTGTTGCGTTTTGCACACAATGTACAAGTATAATTATATATTTGATTCATTATTATTGTTGTTACTTATACATCCATATTTTATAAATTGAAAAATTATTATTAATAATATTATTTTGCATTTTGGAAATTTAGTTTGAAGTACCTTATTTTCTGATTTGTGCTCAGATTCATTTTTTTATTTTGCAGATGGTAAAGAATTCGCCATAAAAGAACTCCTTGCATTATAAAGAGGCTTGCAATATTTTAGGTTAATAAAGAAGCTTAGTTAGAAAAGGTAGTACTTCATTTCAAAAAAAAAAAAAAAAAATTCTATTTCTAGATTTTGATTTACCAGCTAATTTATAATGTTTTTTTTTTCTTGGACAATTTGTTTGGTAAACAAAGTAGGAGCCGCTCTAAATTTTAATACCATGTAGTACAATTTATCGCAAAAGGAAGCGTTTCTTCTTCTTCTCCGCTTCTCTCTCTCCACCTTGCATGAACCTCCATTGTTTTTAAGGATCTCGATATCCTTAAAGATACACATGAGAACATGAAAATCTCATGCCAAGTTTCTGTGGTTGGGTAATGAGAAACACCTGTTAGTTCTATCCTTGAAATTCCCAGCTACTTTCAAATTTTTGAGAAGTAATATATGTTCTATGAAGAATTTTTTTTGCTGAGATTAAAAAATAGGGACTTTCTTTGGTAGTTCTTATAAAAATAGATTATGGATAGTCTCTTACTTTTCAACCGTCAGATTTGTATTAGAATCTGTCTATTTTACATATTTTTTTAATCTGATGTATTTTGATTAGATCTAACGGTCAAAAATTGAGACTACTGGTAGGACGGACTACTAGAAAAACTCTCTAGAAAATATGCAAAATTAATAGTACACATTTTTGTTTTGAGAATAGGAAATAGGGACATTCTCTAGTACGTCAACATACTGGTAGGTCAGGTTTTCTATCCGTCGGATATGCATAAAATAACATAAAAGTCAAAAAGTACACACATCAAATGGTTAGAAAAACTTAGCCTATCGGTATGCCAAGCATACCGGAGAATCTCTCTAGGAAATATTACTTATGATGAAAAGGTACATATAGGGTTCGCTGATTCGAGTTTTTAATTCGAGTTGAAATGTGACTTTATGTGAGAGCTTTTTACTGTAGTAAAAAAGTTAGATGCGACTGTTTCTGAGAGTTTTTTACTGTAGCAAAACTTGAATTCTAAACTTGAATCGGTGAAATGAACGGGGCTATAATAATTCACACCCTAGTAGCCTTCTACTACAAGAAACATGACACTGATAAATAATCAGTTCTACCTGTAAATTTGAATTAAACACTCATGTATAATGTGCTTCACAAATAGAAACTTAAAGTTCCCAAGTATTAAGTACACACATGGCTCTTTAATAGATCTTCTACAAACCATAAAAATGTCTAATTCGATGTAAAAAATCCTATAGACTATCACACGAAAAATTACCAAGAAATAAATCTAACGGACAAAAAAGACAATCAAAGAATAGATAAAGACAGAAACAAGTCAAGTAAAAACCACAATTATTACAAATCTAAAGAAAACATACATAAAAAGAAGAAAAAAAACAACGCAAACAACAATGGTAAAGCTTCCGACCTTCAAAAGGCGGTAACAACAAGAAAAGTCGGCACTGAATAATGGAAAAAACACCATCGACATTCCACCAAACAAACGCACGTGCAACATATGCACAACCAATGAAACCACCTAAAACGGCACTTCTGCCATCATCAGATGCACCACACCTCCTAGGTTAAGACCTCAAGAGATCAAAATTTTAGAGAAACAACGCGCTCAAAATGACACCCAAAAACAAGCAGCACATTGACCCCATTTTGTCTCAGATTTTGGCACCTATCCCTAATTAAAAGAACAAAAATTTCCCCCACCACCATGTCAGCCTCACCATTAAGAGCTCATGAACCGAAACAGAAGGTTGGCAAGCTGCCATAGCTCCATTCAAAACACTCGTTTTTAAGGGTCTTCGAAAAACTGACCAAACCAAATCAAACCAAATTAAACTTATTGGTTCTATTATAATTGGTTTGATCGATTTGAAACTATCATTGTTTTATTTGATTAATAGTTTAGATATTTCAAACCATGAAAACTTATGAAGGGGCCAAAAATTATTTCATAACCTTTTTTAAAACATATCTCTGTCATATTTCTCTACATTTTCGTTCATATTATCTTTAGGGATACAACAAATATAGCCACATTTAGGGTCCAATCCAGTAAATAACTGTTGTACGGAAGCATGCTGAGCGGCGATGCGAAATGATAATGAGAAAGAGAGAGAGAAAACAACACCAAAAATTTGACAGTACTTGAATACTTCAAATGTTACAAATGCTCAAAGTGCTTACAAATGAGAACTTCTTCTTTGAATGCTTCTGTTCTCTTCGATGCTTCAAACTATGCAAATGCATGGCTATTTATAGCCAAAGGAAGCCAACGATGTAGAATAAAGTTGTGGCTGAAATTCATTCTCACCAACTCTTTCAATATGTGTGGCTTACATGCAAGTGCTCTAACTTATGTTGCTAAGCTATTCCACGTGAATGATTAAAAATGAAAATGCTCCATATTTGCAATCATAACGATTATTATATATAACCATTGTCTGCCAACAAACATCCACTTGTTGACTAATCACCTTATATGGTGATAATTGATGCCACATTGCCAACAATCTCCACCTTGATTTCAATTTTCACCATCTGCAAAACAAAGTAAGAAAGTAAGTTTCCAAACGCACCTAATGGTGCCACCACCCAAAGGTGTTTAAATTTTCAGGATGTTTATCAAGTCCAAACAGAGTTTTAACTTGGTTGCTATTATCACCTTGGTCAACATATCTATGGGATTATCAGCAATCTTAATCTTATGAAGCAGAATCTTACCATCTTCAAGAATTTCTCACAAAAAATGGAACCGAACTTCGATATGCTTCGTCCGTGCATGGTATACTTGATTCTTGGCTAAGTGGATAGCACTCTGACTATCACAATACGCCGAGATGTGCTTATGGTAAACTCCCAATTCACCAAGTAAACTTTGCAACTAAATTGCTTCCTTAACATCCTCTGCAACTGCCATATACTCTGCATCTGTTGTAGACAAAGCAACTGTCGACTGTAAGGTACACTTCTAACTTATTAGAGCTTTCACAAGCATAAACACATAGCCAGTAGTTGAGCGACGCTTGTCCAAATCACCGACATAGTTGGAATCAACATATCCAACCACACAATGACCAAGTGAATCATCTCGCTCAAAAAACAAACCAAAATCCAAAGTTTTTAGAATATACCTCAAAATCCATTTCACAGCTTGCCAACGTCCTTTGTCAGGATTATGCATATACCTACTCACTATTCCAACATCATGTGAAATGTCGGGCCTCGTACACACCATTGCATACATCAAGCTACCAGCTGCATTTGCATACGGAACCTTTGACATGTACTCCTATTCCGGATATGTGCTGGGAGACATAGCAGAACTAAGCTTGAAATGAGGAGCAAACAGAGTACTTACAGGCTTTGACTGCTCGGTTAGGCCAAAATGTTGTAGTACTTTCTTCAAATACTGCTTCTGCGATAGACAAAGCTTGCCCTTCTGTCTATCCCTGCTAATCTCCATGCCGAAGATCTTCTCGGCTTCTTCAAGATCTTTCATCTCAAACTCTTGATTTAACTGAGCCTTCAACTTGTCAATCTCTGCTTGGCTCTTAGATGCAATCAACATGTCATCGAGGCACAAGAGTAAGTAAACAAAAGATCCATCTTGTAGCTTGCGAAAATATACACAATGATCATACTTGCTTCTCGTGTACCCTTTCCCGATCATAAAGTTGTCAAATCGCTTGTACCACTACCTCGGAGACTGCTTTAGTCCATACATCGATTTGTTCAGCTTGCACAACCAATCTTCTTTACCAATCACTTAAAATCCTTCTGGTTGAGTCATGTAGTTTTCCTTCCAAATCACCGTGTAAGAACGCAGTTTTCACATCAAGTTGAGCTAGCTCCAAATTAAACTGTGCTACCAAGGCTAACAAAATTCTAATGGAGGAATGTTTCACAACTGGAGAAAATACCTCATTGTAGTCGATTCATTCAATCTATGCATAGTCCTTCATCACTAATCTTGCCTTATAGCGTATATCGTTCTTGTCAGGAAATCCTTTCTTCTTTGTAAATACCTATTTGCACCCAATTACCTTCTTATCCCTCGGTAATTTTGTCAACTTCCAAGTCTCGTTCTACTGGAAAGATTGCATCTCTTCTTCCATAGCTTTCTCCCACTTCTTACTTTCTGAGCTTCTAACTACTTCTTGGTAAGTAAGAGGAACATCATCATCTATTACTGGAAGTGCAAAGGCCACCATGTCAGCAAATTGAGCAGGTTTCTTGATTTCTCATCTTAGCATTCTATCTGCAATTGGCTCTAGCTGTTGTTGAGGTTCTTAGGTTGAAACCTCTTCTTCTTCTCCAAGTTCTCCGATGCTCTCCTCTACCATAGAAGATTCTTCATTTGCTAGAACAAACTTTGTTGCATCAAAATACATCTGTTGCAGAATTTGCTCCACCTACTGTGTAGTACCAACAATCACCTCTTTCAACATTACAGATTCATCAAAGGTGACATCCCTGCTAAAAATTATATTCCTTGTTTCGAGACACCAGAGATGGTATCCCTTCATGCTCGAGGTAATCCCTATGAACAAGGCTTTCTTAGCTTTCATATCAAACTTTGATTCTTTTACACGATAGTAGGTAGTGGAACCAAATACATGTAAAGAATCATAATCATTAGCAGGTTTTACATACCAGGCTTCCATGGATGTATTGCCTCCTATTGCAGCAGATGGCAACTGGTTGATGAGATGACTCGCATACATCACAGCCTCAACCCAAATGCTTTGCTTAACCCAGCATTAGACTGTTGGTTTCTGAATCGAATTCGGATGCAGAAGCGTGAGGATAGTGGATCGAGTATAACAAAAATTTTCATAAAACCT